TTCTTGAAGTCTTTTTTTTTTTAATGGTACATAACCATTAGGCGTTGGTTAGGTTATAATTAGCGAATGTCATGTGACGTGACCTTTTATCAGTAGTTATTAAACGTTTAAGGCAATTGAAATTTGGAGTATAATTTTATGGGTTTTTTGGGACTGTTTGTAGGTGCTCCTAAAAGGGTTCATTAGTAGAGGTTAAAACCATTCCTTACTTTCACTTAAATATTGTTGATTGCCTGGAGGATTGTTGTTGATTGTTTTAACTCCTAAATATTCTTTCCATAGCTTTCCATAAGCCTTTTTTAGGCTTAACCTTTCCTTGGGTTAGCTGTCATTAACCTTGCAGAACCCAAGCATTTTTGTAGAATTAAAACCCATATATTTTTACATTTTTGAACCTCATTTGGTTTGATTTCTTACTGACATTATCTTCAGGGTCATTGCTTAAATCTTTTCAAAATAAATTCCCAAAAAATGTTACTACGTATTCGTGACGTTTTTAAAGATTATAAATAATAATAAAATTAACCCAAAACCCTCTCAAACAACAAGTGGCTAGTCACCATCATGCGTTATTATAACTTAATTTTGAAGCTATCATCTTCATATCTTATCTCGTGGAAAGATTACCTTTGATTGCCTTTGATTGATGGACATGGTTTTTTTTTGCTTTTCAGATAGTATTTTATTTGGTTCTTCAACTTGTCAAATTGCTGTGCTGGGCTGTTGATTTTCCTTTGATTTATAGTTGACTGTCTAGTCGATTGGCTTGTTGGGGTATCTCTGGAAGATCAACTTACCTGCAGGCAAATCTTTCATTGGCATTTAGGTGTTGCGTGGGATTTTGCCAAGCAAAGGAGATGCCTAGAGATTGTTTGGTCACTTTGTGGACATTTAGCTCTCTGTCTCTCTGGTACACTCAGTGGCTTAGTCAACTAATCAGTTAAGATGCCACAGATGCCGAAGCAGATGCAGATAGAAACACAGCCCAAATCAAGGCAAATGTCTGCTGCCAAGACAAATCCAAATCAATCTTCGCTGTCTGTGCTCGGTTGTGTTTGCTTAATTTGACAAACGGAATACATATAATTTGATGAATATCTAAAATGGTAGCTGGAAGCACTGTGAACAGCGGGTTGTATGGACCTCCCAAACCCAAACACAGCCACGGCTTTGTCACTAATTCAATAAGCATCCAATTACAACGCGGCAGGACGAATTTTCCTTTGCTTTTCGACTTCCTGATGTGACAGGCATTCCCGCCATCTCCATTATTCCCCTCTCCACACATTCATCGTACACGCAATTTTCATTTGGGTATATGAAAATTTAATGTACTGTCTGTGGTTCCATAATTTTCCATAATTATTTTGTTGCTCTTTTCTAGACAGATTTCAGAGGAATTTTCGCTTCAAGTGCCCCTCAAAACACTGAGAGAAAAAATGATTTAAATAAAATTGATGGGAATGTGTGGCGTGTGCAGAAAATAGAAAATGTTGTCAGTATTCAACCCTTCACAGAACTCAACATACCTTCCGCAAAGACCTTCATTACAGGGTAACAAAATGAGAGCACGTGCAGGATATTTATTTGTAATTGTTTTGCTGAAGGAACATTCCAACGTAGCCAACGTGTAGCCCTGGCATTGGGATTGAATGACCCAAATTCAATTTCAACTATGACCCACTCGTGTGACCCCCCGCCCAACACAGGACTCCACTCCCACGGCGGCAATCATAAGTACGTTTTCAGTTACCAACGCAGCGGGTCACCGTTGGTGGTGGGTGGTGCGTTGTGACAGCCGACAAAATCCAAGCTGCAAGCGGCAAGGGGCAAGGGGCAGGAGAGGGCCAGAAGTAGGTGTCTTGTTGTTGGACACCATAATCAACGCAATGCAATTTCAATGTCTGACTCTCGTGTTTCACTTTAGTTCTGGCTGCAGCCCCCAGTCAACCCTAAGTTCCAGTCTCCATCCTAGATCTCTCTGCCCGTCCCATTTCGCTGTACATATCCCCTAGCATTTGGTCAAGGTGGGATTTTTTCACTGTGTGTGTGTGTGTAGTGCCCAGAGGTATGCGAATAGCCAAGGATCTCATTAGACAAATGTATTTGCTGACTAAGCAGCAGTTTATTTGGGTTAACCATGGCCAAAAGCTGACTTCCAACACTCTGGTTAAACGCTTTGCCCAATTCCAGTTGATGCGATTTGAATATGCCCCCAAGGTTGCGGATGAAATTCGCATTGACGGAGCGGGGACGTATTCCATTTTGAGCGGAAGGAGATACTTAACACCCGATTAGACTGTCAAGCTTTGATTTCTGGTTTCTCTGTTTGAAGTTGAGCTGCGGTTTATAGTAAGCAGAGTTTTTTTAAGGTTTTTGGGTTGGAAGAAGGTTCCAAAAAGATGAGCAATGAAAGGTGTCTTGACTAGACAGCAGATTTTGTGGTATTTTATTTGGAAAGGGATATAGATTGGGATGTGCAAATGTGTTCTTCTAGATATATTTTACTTAATATTTGAAGGAAGACAGGAAAGACTTGGATTGGAACTATTTCAGAGACCTTTTAGAATTATTTTGGTGCAGTTGAATTATTCTCTAAAATTTCCTCCTTAATCTAACTCATTCATTTAATTAAAACCCATTTTCTTTTGGCATTTACTTAAGAACTCTTTGGTTTTAAGTTGTTTTTTGCTTCTGGACTCTCCTCAAAGGTCACTGACAGAGTGCTTGCTGCTGCTGCAGTGTCAGCAAAGGTCACTGCTGGAGTAAGCTCTTGCCATGGCACTTTTCTCTTCCTGCTAAATGCCCATTTCGTACTTGAAGCGATATATTACTCGATTAAATGACGCTGACACTTGGCTGACTTCCACGCGGAGCGGAAAGTGCATAAAATGCGAGTCAGTGCATCGCGGTGGCAAGCTGTGAAAATGCAATCAGCGGAAGGAAACCGATGGCTGGATGAACGGCAAGGCAACTAATGCCCATTGTCAGTCAAGTGTGAAGCTATCAGATCGGGAATGAGAATGTTGCTCACTGACCGAAACAGACATTTATTTACGTTTCAGCGTTTCAGGGTTATATTTTTATTCAAATATTTATTTGGTTAATTTTTATTTGCATTTGCGCGGCTAAGCCTTTGGGCCGTTTGGACAGTAAAAAAGAGAAACAAATAATACGAAAATAAATCGAAATTCGTATGAGTACACATGCGAGTGATTCGTTGTTCGATTAGTTGGATGAGCCATCCGCCCACGGGCCCAGGGTGCGTATACTTTATTTTAGTATGTGTATCTACGAGCTACAACCGGCTAGCCATGCACTCCAACTCCACTCCAACTCCACTTCCACTTCGCATTGGTGGCCATAAATCAAAAAATGATTGATAAACGGTTTGCAGCGAGTGTCTGTCGGAGAACAGATGGGATGCCCGCATGGCATTTGTCGCCTGAAGGCGTCTGCCTAATAATTGCCACACGAAATGTCACCGCAGAAAACAGTAATCATACGCACTGTGTGCCAGTGGACAAATGGCATGGGAATGGGTAACCGAAATTGCCCAACGTTGCGTTAAATCCGTTGATTACTTTATTTGTCCCCCAAAAAAGTGCGCAACGCACTCACCCGTTCACCCGTGGATGCCTTCATTCCTCGGACCTTGTGGTGGCAACACTGGGAGTGCGGTCAGCGATAAGCGGCGGATGCCCAGGACACTCGCAGTGCATCCCTCTACCCGCCTGTGGAAAATAACCTGTGGCTTAAACCACCCACAGCGAACCGCAAAAAGAAAAACCCCACACAAAAAGCTCACAATTTCTCCGCATTTTCTTTCTTTGGTCAATCAGCACACATTGATCGCCATTGTCCCTGTTCGGGTCGGTTCTGCCAATTGAAGTGACATTTTATTTTATTTGATTTTAAATCTGATTTCAATAAGGATTTAAGGACTCCAAATGGAAGCAACCTGCATTTGCTTTTATCTGCCCAAGCAAATATACTTTCATGGACGAGTGGACTCGTAAATGGGGCAAAGTGAAACGCTTGATTGGAATTTGGAATTTCTTGCGTGCAGCAAAGGCAGAGTGAAGATGCGCCAAAGTGGCTTAAAGCAATTAGTAATTAGGCTCATTGCTATAAATCAACCAAATGGAATGATGGTTTTGTTCCTTGGTTTTTTCTTCAACAAGTAGGATGATAAAAATGTGTTGAAAACATTTTTTTTAATTGGAAATTTATAGAATTTTGGAATTCCTTGAAATGGTTCAGCTCTTTGGGAAGTTCTTTTTGTGGTTTTTATTGTCTGCAAAATTCTGCCAAAAAGAATTTAATTCCTCTTGGTCTATGTACTTATGCTACATGTAATAGCTATTGCACTATGATAATAATTGAGAGATTGGTAGATAATATCATTCGATTTTAAGCCACTAAAAAGTAGCTCTAAGTCTTGTGATATTTTGTGATATTTCTGCTGTTCCCATTCCACATTCGCAAAAGCCTTTCCCTTTCATTCTCCTCGCTTGCTTATTTATGGATCTGACTCTCTGAATACTCCCCATTTATTCTATAGTTTTATGGGTCGATAAAACGACCTTCTCACAGCTCTGCGATAATGAAAAGTTTCAGTTTGCCTCTCCGCTGTAAACAACATTTTATCGCTAGTAAAACCCTTTATTTAATTATCTCAAATATTTGCTGCTCTATAAATATATTTTTCGAATCAAAACAAAGTCCAATCTTTTGGGGATTCATATCTTACGAATGAATTGCATTATCAAGTAGATAGTCAAAATTCACACCTGAACTGATATGCGGCGCCCTCTAAATAGGATTACAATTATCGCTCGATAAAGTATCATTTGGGTATTTGTATTTTATTTTTTTAAAGCTACTTTCAAGTGGCACGGCTTGCCTGGTATTATAGGTGCCCCCAATCTTATCGCAATGGCAATTGGTGGGCTGTGATTGATGGCCAAATGGCTATAAATTAGATGTGGGCCCGGCCATTGGCAGTTAGTCGAACTCCAGTAGACTACAAAGACAGACAGAAAGAAAGACAGAAAGAAAGATGATGATCAAGTCGTTTGCTCTGTTGGCGCTGCTGGTGGCAGTGGCCAGTGCCGAGCTGCACCGCGTGCCCGTCCTCAAGGAGCAGAACTTTGTGAAGACGCGCGAGAATGTGCTGGCCGAGAAGGCGTACCTGGCCACCAAGTACCAGCTGCCCCAGGCACGGGATCTCAACGAGGAGACGCTCTCCAACTCGATGAACATGGCCTACTATGGTGCCATCAGCATCGGCACTCCTGCCCAGAGCTTCAAGGTGCTGTTCGATTCGGGCTCCTCCAATCTGTGGGTGCCGTCGAACACCTGCCAGAGCGACGCCTGCCTGACCCACAACCAGTACGACTCCAGTGCCAGCAGCACCTATGTGGCCAATGGCGAGTCCTTCTCCATTCAGTACGGCACTGGCAGCCTCACCGGCTACCTCTCCGAGGACACCGTCGACGTGAACGGACTGCAGATCACCAGCCAGACCTTCGCCGAGTCCACCAACGAGCCCGGCACCAACTTCAACAATGCCAACTTCGACGGCATCCTGGGCATGGCCTACGAGGCTCTGGCCGTCGATGGTGTGGCTCCTCCCTTCTACAGCATGGTCTCCGAGGGTCTTGTCGATCAGTCTGTGTTCTCCTTCTATCTGGCCCGCGCCGGCACCTCCGCCACCGACGGCGGTGAGCTGATCTTCGGCGGCTCCGACTCCACCCTGTACTCGGGTGCCCTCACCTATGTGCCGATCTCCCAGCAGGGCTACTGGCAGTTCGCCATGGCCAGCGCCACCTCCGATGGCAACTCGCTGTGCAGCGATTGCCAGGCCATCGCCGACACTGGCACCTCCCTCATTGTGGCTCCCTATGAGGCCTATGAGATTCTCGTTGATCTTCTGAGTGTGGACGAGGACGGCTACGTGGCCTGCTCCCTGGTCAGCTCCCTGCCCGATGTGATCTTCAACATTGGCGGCACTGACTTCGCCCTGACCCCCGCCTCCTACATCATCCAGTCGGAGGGCAACTGCATGTCCGCCTTCGAGTACATGGGCACCGACTTCTGGATCCTGGGCGATGTCTTCATTGGCCAGTACTACACTGAATTCGATCTGGGCAACAATCGCATTGGCTTTGCCCCAGTCGCCTAAGAATCGAATCAAAGCGAATCATCGAATCAATAAAGCAACAAATAATTTGCAATATCTCAACATGGAATATTCTGCGATGCAAAAAGCACTTCTCAAGGCAAAGACAAAGGCGCAGTCCCAATCTGATCTGTGCTTACATTAATTGCTAAATTTAAATTGTGGAAAATAGGGTAAAAATTGTAGGTGCTGCTAGGGGAGAATTTCCGCTACTTAAGACTCGACATAGAGCGCTCCTTCAACGTAAACTCCCCATCCGAACTTGCAGCCACTTAAAGCGAGTAAATGTTGAACCCCTGAATGATGTGGAAATGATCCAAATGAGTTGTGATGTTGTGCTGCGCTGAGGGGTGAGGCCGACAGCATCTCACAGTCACAGAGAGTCAATTCATTTGTCCAGCCTGTTGCGTGGGCAATGATGCGTGTCCGGGGCCGGGACCTGTGCCTTCCGTGCTGTCAGGCGCTGTCAAAGGGAAGTCAAGGCCCCAGCCGATGATGTCACAAACTTTTGCAACAGTAAACATAACACCGGCAATGGCAATGGCAATGGCAACGGCAAAGGCACAGGCATTTAGGAGCAGCAAACAGGATGGGGACTGAAACTGGAACTGGGGCATGACAGGAAGTGGAAGTGCAGTTGAGCAATGCAAAAAAAAAAGCAGGGAGCACGGGAGAGAGACAACAGTTCATGTTGCTGCTGTTAGCTGTTAGCAAGTAGCCAACGCAAATGACTTTCCAGCAGTCAGTGGGTGAAACCGGGGGGAAGCACCTCCCTTCTGCTGTGGGTAGTGGGAGGAATGGTGCGCCGGCAGGAAGGGAGCTCCCTTATTGTTGGGAGTAGCTCTCTCAGAATTGCCTGTGAATGGGAATGGACTAGCGGTGGTCCTACGGCGACTGTGCTGGGTGTGGATTGTCGCCTGCTTCGTTGAGCAGTTAATGAATCACTTAATGGAAAACCTGGTCTACTGCCTCACTTCCGTTTCGTTTCGTATGCCACTGCCGCCGGTGTTGGCTTGGCTTGGGTTGGGTTGGGGCTGTGTCTGTGTCTGTGGCAATCGATTTTTAATTGTCTCTGATTGATGTCGACCCTAGCACTAGGACAAGCACTAAACCTAAGTCGCTTAGCTTTAAATATATATGTAACCATATCTGTTGTTTATTTTTAGATCAGGCAGACGAGACAGCCGCACTACCACTACTACCACTACTACCACTACTACAATGATGACAAACAGATTCGCTTGCTTTGCTGTGGCCCTTCTGGTCGTGTGTCTGTTGGCCATATCGAGCACCGAGGCAGCCCCCATGCCCAGGTAGTTGTAGATTATCCTTATAAAACACACACACTTGGGCGACATAAATTAATTAATTTCTGGCACTTTCTAAATGTGTGCCAAAAAAAAAAAGGCAAGCAAAGGAAAAACCATCTCCAAAAAATTGGGCTATAAAAATATTTGCCCAAAAGCAATTACCCAAAGTTGCCCCACAGACACGACACGACACGACGACACGACACGACACTGTTTGCTGTGCATTTTGGTTTTAGGAAATGGAAATTCTGGGAAGCACCTTCCCATATGCATATGAGCATATGAAGGAGCCACCTCCCCCCTCTAGCCATCACTTTACACTCTCCTCGTCTTGTCAGCGTCTTTTGGCACATTTAAAGTCCTCACACGAGAACAATTTTCAATTAACAAAATGTAAACGTTGACAGAAAAAACATAAAAATCTTTGCCACAAATTTGTGAGCAGTGCTTAGGCACACACACACACACAAACACACACACATCCTTCGAGCAGGAGTAGAAGATAATGTTTCTCAGAATTTTAAACTCAATTTCCTCTTAAGCTTTGGGGATGGGGCAGAGTGAACTATCAAAAATTCATTGAAGGCTAATTAGTAATTTCTTGAATGGAATTAATTGGGTTTCCATGCAAATGAATTTACAGGCTGGTTGTCCATTACGAGTTTTCAACGAGTATTCCAACCAAATGTCAAATCTAACAGAGCCCAAGTAATTGGATATCCTGGCTGCTGCGTCAAGCCAGCGAATTATTTATACAACAGACACAAACACACATACACACAAAACAAAGAAAAACTCTGTCTAATTTTCCATTTGACTGACTTCCAAATAGCCAGAGCAATGGCGGCGGAGGCTACGGCGGTGGCGGTGCTGGCTACAACGAACTGGAGGAGGTGCCCGATGACCTGCTGATGGAACTGATGACTCGCTTTGGACGCACCATCATACGCGCCCGCAATGACCTGGAGAAGTGAGCATTAAACAGGGGTTGATATATAGATATATATCTTATCTCTCTCTCTCTCTCTCTACATCTTCGATCGTTTAGTTCGAAGCGAACTGTGGACTTTGGCTTGGCTCGGGGCTATTCGGGCACCCAGGAGGCGAAACATCGCATGGGTCTGGCTGCGGCCAACTTTGCCGGCGGCCCTGGACGAAGGCGGCGCTCTGAGACTGATGTCTAAGTCTACACACACACACACATATATCTGATTATCCGAATCCTGTGAACATTAGCGGACGAGTTTCCACAACATTTTTCAGCTCACAAATTTCCATCATTCTTCAGGTCTTCGATTTTTGAATTTTATTTGTTTGTTTGTTTTGTTATGCATTGTACATACATATAAAAATATATATACTTATTGTGGATTATGCAGTATTACTGAATAATATTAATTAATATTTACACAATATCGGAAGCTATATATATACCAACTATATTACACCTGAAACACCCAAATAAAAACGTTAAACTGTTGCTCCAAAAAAAAAAGAAAATAACCAAAATTAAAATTTATAACATTTTTCTGCTCACGTTGCCCTCTCTAAAAGTCTCTTCCTCCCTCTCTACTCTCAGACCCAGTCTCAGTCTCTATCTCAAGTTATTGGCTAAAAATTACGAAGCAAAATACGTTAAAAAATAATTATATATTTAAAAAAAAAAAAAGTAAATAACTCAAAAAGTAAAATATATATGTATATGTATTCGCGCAAAAAATCTTTAACTAGGTATGTCTTACATAACACACACGACAAAAATTGAAACGCACACGAAAAACATTTAAAAAAAAAAACCATTTTGGCCCCCTCTGGAAAACCCCAACGAAATGATTTCTATTTACGCATAAATCACCGAAAATAAAAACCATGCTGGAATGGTTAACTTGAATCATTTGCGTATGGCTTAAATCGCTGCAAGCGACTTTTAAATGTATTGTAAATATAGCACGCGTACAATTATTGCGATATATAAACATATATACATATATATATACAACAACTTTACTTGCATACATATATTGTATTGTATTTAACTATTGTGTCTATGGAAAACTGCTGCATACATAAAAGAAAAAGAGTCGGGAGACGATTAAATAAAGTCTTACATTTAGAGAAACTCCGAAATATTTCACAAGGTCTTTGATTTCGAAAGGGTAGCACCCATATAACATAATTTATCCTTTTAAATATTATATAATTTATGTTTGATTTAATACGCAATTTTCGTATCAATTCCTATGACCATTTTCCGCCCCAAACTCCACCCTGTACACCTGACACCCAAGTGCTTCATCCATTTAATTTCTAGAGCTCATAAATTTATCCATTTGGGGAGCAGCAAATGCATTACAAATCGCTTACACAAACACTCAACTCAACGGGTCGGAGTTGAGCTGCAAATGCAATTGATTCTATTTATTTACAGGGGAATTAGATGCTGTTGATTTATGCATCGAGTGTGGGATACGCAGCACAGACAGATAAGTAGACCTCGAGGTGCCATAAATGGCCGCAGCATGTTGTAAACGTGGGGGGAGGGAGTTCGGCCTCTAAGCCAATAATTACACTTGGATTTGCAGATAGGGAACAATTAGCATTCGATGCAAAAATATACTCGTAAAGCAATTAATACCAAAACAGAATCAAAGTTAAATAATAATTTAATTTCCATTTCCACGATCACAGATCGACATCGATAATTCATTTCCTTTTTTGCGCATTTTCGCAACAGTTGCAGGCGGTCACATTGAACAACTTCTTTATCTTTTAAACAAATAAAAAAATGATAAAAAATGCAGTGGAAAGACTGGCTTTCCAAGAAAGACATTCCTAACAAATCACTGACCACGCAAACATTGGTCATACATTGACCTAGATCAATTATTCAATTGGTGGAGAAAAACTCTGCCTGCCCTAATGGGTCGTGGGCTTTGATGTGATTGCTGATAGTCGTTCGATCAGTAAAGATTGTGTGGCATTGTTATCACATGCATAACTGAAGGGGAAACAGTACGTTTGATAAGCTTTAATACCTACTTATACCTAATACCTAATACAGATTCAATGTTCAACCCCTTCCGCTCGCCAGCGAAAAAATTCGCCTATAAACGATCCATCCCATTGGCGTGCATATCTTCGCTCCAGGGCCAGATCTTTCAGGCTCTGGCCATGCATGCCACCGGCCACATGCTGTCTATAGATGCGGCGCCTATGTCGAGCAGATAGCCGCTCCTTCCGGTTTCTGTGTGGCACATAAACCTCGGCACCATCAGCTGCATTCGCCTTTAATTCTTTCAGTTCATCGCGCAGCCATTGGTTTTGCATTTCCAGTAATTCGACCTGTAATACATTGGGAATTAATACCAGAGTTCCTTTGAGCGTACGTTGCACGTGCATCATCCAAATCGAAGTCCATCACACTGATAACATCGTAGGCTGCATCCAGTTCGGCCTGGAGTCGGAATAAAGTCTCCCTTAGGAGCACTACCTCAGCGGATCTGGGCTCCATTGTAACTTTCATGTCGATTCGCGTCTGAATTGCTTGCCAAGTCAACCAAAGCAGTGTGTGGCTAAAGCAAACATTGATATGTTATCAATATAGCTACGATTCGTTGCCATATCACTAGAGTTGATTTTTTGCAACTATCGATTCCAATCAGTCCCAACAGATCGTTATCTTTTGAAATCGAAGAGTTTTGAATGGCTAGAATCCTCCTAGATTAATTGACAGACCCCAAATAATATTTCCAATGCATGCTTCATTTTTATTTGAATTAAAGTAATGAACCTTAAGGCTAACAACACCAATACAATTCCCCGAAGGGAGCAGTACAAATGCTCAGTTGATTATCATGTAATTGTTGGCCTTTTTAGCACTGCCAAAATGTAATCTCAGTCGCTTACGAAATATGCACTTACACAGCTAGATGGAAGAACTTATTTGATTGGCACTTGTGTGTGGGGCTTAGGCGATTGAAGCTACAACCTATCGAGTGAAAAGAACACTTTGAATAATACTACGTGAATGAACGTCAGAGAAGCACCTCGGGCGGGGCAGGGGCAGGGGCATGAATGAATAATCTACACATAAATATGTATGTAAGTAGATGTGTAAAGTGGAATGCTTAGATTACAAAAATACAAAATGTCATATATGTACAGTCTTCAGCATTGATCGTTAAATCTTAACACCATTCGCCTGTACGGCAGGCGGCAGGGCAGCCACATTGCCATTCGCATTTCCACTGTGACTGCCCGACGACAGTTCCATGTACTGAAAGGGCACGTGGTAGCTCTGGCCCTTGTGCTCCACCAGCAAATGTCCCCGGCCGCTGGAGGCACCCACCACGGTCACCGTTTCGCCCTTCTTCAGCTGCTGCGTCTCCGTTTGGGCAGCGGTTGGGGGGCTGGCCAGTGCATCCTCGGGAAAGCTCGTCTTCATGAGGCGACTCTGCGGATAACCCAACTTGGAGTTGCCGCTGATCGTGTAGGATCGAGAGGGTGGCACAGGCGGTGGACGTTCCTACAAGAAAAACGGACACTCCTTAGCCAAAGGTTTGCCGTAAGAAATGAAAGATTAAACCTACCAGGTCCAGTCCAAACAGACTGCAGGTTTGCTGTATAATCTTCTGGTCGCATTTCTCGTGTGGATCTGGCGGTGGTGTGCCAGCAATCGGCTGTGGTCTTGGCCTGGTCGTCACCGTGCCACCGATGCCAAGATTCGTGGACTTTGCCGAGAGGCGTGGCACTGGCAAGGGAGAGAGCATAAAAGTTACTGAAATCTTCTTTGTAATGGGAATTTAATCTCTCACCTGTCGTTGGAGCTGCAGCAGCCACGGCCGCCAAGGCAGCCATCGTTGTGGATGCGGACTTGCTCTGCGAGTTGTGGGAATTGTGGGAATGGCTGGGCTGCTTCGACACTGGCAGTGGCGCTGCCGATGGCGAGGGCAAGTGGTGGGTCATTCGCGTACGCTTGCCGCCATTGCCCATCTTCTTGCGCCACCACCAGCCGCGCCAGGTGGCCTGCATGAGGGTGGCGCTCTTGTGGCGAATCTCCGTGCGCAGGTGCTCCAAATGCTGGCGAATGCCCTCGCTGAGGAACACATGCCGCTTGCCCGGCGCCCAGGCCAACGTCACGGTGCCATCCAGCACCGGTGGCTGCTCCAAGATCAACTGGCAATCCTCCAGAGCCTTGTCCTCGCTGCGCCGCAGCAGGCGGAAGGGAGCCAGCATCCGGTAGCGGGCATTGAACTGCTTGAATCGCATGCGATGCGGGAAGCCCGAGGCCATCAGATTGACGGTTTCCAGGACCTGCAGCGATCTGATCTGCCGCACCACGGTGGCCCTGTCGAAGGTGCCCGCCTGCTCGGCTCCGTTGCTGCGGATGCAGCGCACAAAGTGGGGCCTGGCATGCACCAGGGTGCGCAGCAGGTTGTCCAGCCGTGTGTGAAAGTCCTGGGTGAGCGTGGACACAGGCTCGTCGCCGTTCAGCAGGTCCGAGTGGGAGGTGGGCGAGATGCGGAAGCTGAGACCCCGCGGCGCCTGCTGCTGCGCGTAGAGCGCCTTCAGCTCGGAGCCAAAGAGATGGGTGGCAAAGCCAAAGTTGCAGCTGTGCTTGTAGAACACCGCCACCAGATCGTCCGGCACCACATCCCGATTGGTGTCCAGAAAGTCCGTCGTATCGTACTCCACACGACCGGCAAAATGGCGGATGAGAAACATGCGCGGATCGTGCGGCTCGGCGGTGGGTTTCGTCTCGAGGCGAGTGGAGCAGCGGTGCTGTACCTTCAGCTTGGTCACATAGCTCTCGGCAGTGCCCCGCACGGAGCACTCGGCATCCAGCATGCTGAGCAGACCCGTGCGCAGGGAGGAAATCAAATCGATGCACGGCACATTGTCCACGTAATCCACCTCATTGTCACACACGATGCCCTCGTCCCGGCAGGACTCCACCGAGGACTTGAAGATGTGCGTGTTGTAGAAATGCTGCATCGTCTCCGCACACAAATTGATGCACAGATGCTCCAGCTGGGCGTGCGGCGCGGGTTCCTCGAACCCGAACATATCCAATATGCCGATGAAGCCATCCGTTGCATGCCGCACCGCATTGTTGAGTGCTGCCATCGACTTGGAGCCCGCATTGCCACCGCCAATGGTGGAGGCATGCTGCGAGGCAGCATCCGCCTGGTTGTGCACCGACTCGTTCGAGTCGGAGCTCAGGGTGCCCAGAGTGGAGCCCAGACGCTTTAGGCTGTTCGCCCGACGCACAATCGTCGCCACAGTGCGGCAGTAGAGAGCCTTGGCCAGGCAATCGCGCGTCATATTGGCATCTCCATCCCCACACACGGACTTCACCAGCTGCCCCCGGACATTGTGGGTGCGGGTGGTCAGCCCGCGAAAGAGAGCGGCTGGCGGTACGCCCAAAAGGCTGGCCACCGAATTCAGCTCCGTTTCCCCCTTGACATCCACCTCGAGACCCTGTAAAATATTAACGAGAAATTGGTTTAGCAAATCTGCAAGCGAAATTACTCTGTGGATTGATTAAAAAATAATTTCTCGCTCAGCAAAAGTCTTGGTATCGAACATGATTTAAATTCAGACGTAAATTACCACTCAAACATCAGCGCAAGAAATGTTGAAAATATTGTTGCACATCGGTCCAGAGCAGGATTCGAACCGCCATGTTCTGGGCTAACGAATCAATGCTCTAGCCAAGGCACCAGCGTGGCATCGTTGGTGTTGTGTCTCAATGCATAATACGAAGCAGTACGAAAAGCAACACCAGATGGCGCTATAACGCAAAAGCTACAACACAACCAACAGATGGAGCTGGTCCACAGTTTGCGGGATTTAAATTAATAAATTAAATAGAAGCAAGAACTTGATTTGCCCCCAAAAACGGCCATAAATCATTTAGAAAAAATTAGAAATATTTGATATACGGTATACAAAAAGTAAACACTACTCACCCCACCATCGATAAACTGAACATTTCCCAGCAGCAGCACGGCAGCCAGTACGCGCACCACATCCAGAAACGGAATGCCCAGTATGCCAAGGCACGTCTTCCAGGCCTGGAAGCGCACCGCATCCTCCTGCTCGTTCTGGCCAGGGTCGCCGCGCAGGTAGCGCAGATTCGCCGGCGAGTAGCCCTCCAGATGCAGCTTCTGGCGCTCCTCCCGATTGAGGCCCGCGAGCAGCTGGTAGAAAATGTGATAGTTCTTCTCCTTGGGCAGCGGCCGGATGACGCGCGTCTGGTCCAGGAAGTAGCAGTGGATTTTGGTGCGATAGAGAGCGCCATCCGTCACCTGGACCTCGATGAACTGGCCAATGCGACTCGACTCGGAGTTGGTGGTGGTCTTGGCCGAGCCGAGGGACCGAAGCACCGTGAAGGCAGCGGCCAAATGCTTGAACGCATCCGTCTCCGGTCCGCCGCCAGCAATGGCAAACAGCTGGCGGAGCATCAGCATGGCATTGGCTGTCTTTCCAGCGCCCGAAGTGCCCGACAGAATGATGGCCTGCGGATAGCCCGTCTCGCTCTGCTGACGCACTGCCTCCTGAACGATCTTCTGCAGCTGCGGCGCCAGTGGCATGGAGCGTGTGGAGGTGAGTGTCAGCGGATTGCCCACATCCAGATAGGGATTGATGGAGAGCAAAATGGGTCCCACATTTGTCTGAAAAATGGCCACAACACAAAGCGAAGAGACATTAAGAGACAGAATTACAGCGATAATAATTACCAAACGAATAGTTGGGAATTGCTATGATAGATGATAGAGTTCTATGGGGTCTATGGGAGGGCACAAATCCATTGCTAAATCTCTCACTTGCTCAGCAATCATTCGATCCGCAGATCTTCTAATGCCAAGGCAATCGTTGTGCTAGTAAACTAAACACCTGTGATGTGATGGGATGTGTCACACCCCATTCTCATTCACACACGAATGGACATGGACATGGACACCGTTGCAGCTCGATTAGAGCAGAGACTTCCTTCGCCATTTGCCACTGCCCGCCCGACGGTATATAATTGTCGAAATTAGCAGTTAATCTCGGCGAGGCTGAGTGCAAACGGAGTTAAATTTAATGACAAACTATCACAATAATTGCTGGGAGAGGAGACCCCACTCGTACATCCTATACACAGTAGGTGTGTATGTGTCTCTGAGACCGGTTTGCTGTGGCAATCACTGGGACTGAGACTGGGACTGGGACTGAGACTGGGACTGACAGCAAATAAAAGCGAATTTATGTAGCGGCTGCCCCCTGGTGGATGGGATACTTACAAAGTACCGCTGCTCGTTGAAGCGGGCCTGAAGAGTACGCATAACGGCATGCTCGGTGAGTGGTCCCGGCAGATGGATCAGGTCCTGCATGTCCTGCGCCAATTTGGGCACAACGCTGACCTGCTGCAGCCGCTGCGTGCCCATGGCGGATGGCTGGGGCGCAAATCCGAAGCCAAAGGGCAAGGTTTTGACGCTGTGGCACGGATTCGCATGCTTCGGTCCGGCTATGAATGGCAACTGCTGGCCATGGCCATGGCCATGCGAATACTGATGATGCTGAGAGGCAGTTGCTCCTCCTAGTCCGCCGTTCGATGCTGTTGCTGCCAATCCGTTGGCGTTGGAGGAGCGCATGGGCAGCGTGTGCGAGTTGGAATGGGAATGGGAGTTGGAGTGCGAGTGCGAGTGCGAGTGGGAACCATGGCCGAGGATGTTTCCCATGCTGCTCATGTGGGGTAGCGTGCCAGTCGACGCCCCATGGCTCTGATGGTGCGACAAGGCCGTCTTCTCGCCCAACTGGTGCGGCAGTGGGTGTGGAATCGATGTGTTTCGTGCGGACACCACCGTCCCAGAGCTCGCATGGGCCGGCAGCGTGTGGCTGAAGTTGTGGTGCGAATGCTGTTCAGGATTATAGGGATTAATCTTCACTTATTTAATTTTCTTGTGGGCTCACTTTTACCTTGTGCGACACGGTGTGGTGGCCATTGGTATGCTGCTGCAGGGCACTGGCGGACAGGCCGCCACCTGCAGTGCTTAGGTTCAGATTCGGACTGGATGCATTCAGGTCAAAGTTGTTTGCCTTGGGACCCACATTGGCCCCCCCACCACCACCACCACCACCACCACCACCACCACCGCCGCTTCCTGGCGAGGCATGTGGCTGGGCGCCATTGCTCTGACCCTGCGCCTGTCCTTGACCCTGGCCCACGTGCAATCGGTTGCGCAGCGTCACCAGCTCAGTGCTCAGGCTCTTGAGCCGCTGCTGCAGATGCACCGCCTCGTTGGATGATGAAGCATCTGCCAAAAAATAAGAAAATAAAATATAAGAAAGGGAATGTGAGCTGTGCTTTTGGCTTTGTAGTGCTGGGTAGGTCCAAAAACTGCAACTGCAGCTGCAGCTAAATCTTATTTCTAACTCCTTTTATCGTGGCATATTTTCCCCAACTCTAATGATTTTCCCCAATCAATTAAATCGATTAAAATTTATGAATTGCCATACATTAATTTTTATTGACTGTTAGTTAAATTTAATCGTTTTGGCGGTGCTTAACCTCAGATCTCTCTCTCTCTCTCTCTCTGTTAAAGCACCAGAAAAGTCGGGGTCAGAGTTTTTGTGCCTAGCGCTTGTAGCGGTTGCAGGAGCTGGGGTCGTAGCTTCCTCCCATCATGGATGCCGCCGCAGTGTTCAGTCTCATTGTGGACTGGTAGGTCATCGGATAGACCAGAGGCTTGCGCTCCTGCACCCACTGGATCGGGCGACGCAGCTGCTCCACACTGTGATCCGGCTTGATGGCACATTTCCCCTGATGGTACTTGAATGTCTCCGGCTTGTGCAGCTTGTCGTAGGGGTCCCGGTAGTAGTCGCGATACTTCTGGCAGGACAAGTAGAAGGTGTCGATTCTACCCATGGCCGCGTAGTCCACTGTCACCAGTTTGATCTTGGGGGCGAAACCCAGAATGGCTTCACGCTCCTTTTCAGAGTTTTTGGATACGCTCAGCATATCCACTTCCGGAAAAATAATGGGCGCCATTTTAGTGTATTTTTGTGTATAAAATATCGTAAAGAATACTACAAAAATAAATTGTGCTCGTGTAAAAAGTAACTAAAACAATGCTCAAAAGAAACGACTAACGACTGAAATGTGAACCGACATGCAAATCGACATGTGACTGAAAAGTTTCAACTAGCTAACTGTGTTGGGAAAATTCAAACGAACTCTGATAGGTTGGGGAACGCATCGAAAAGCTGCAAAGAAAGTTTCCCAAAGTGACACCCAAGGAAATTTGGAAATTTTCCATCCCTTTGCTGTCTTATGTCTGCAGATTTTCCCAACTGATTCTCTCCTCGCACGAAAAGCGTAGCACCATTGTCACTGAGATAATTCCCCTTGATTTCAAAGTATATCCGTTAAGGAGCAGGAGTAGAGTTCTCAGACTAACATTAACCAATTGAATTTTATGTGTAGATAAAGAGAATATAAATGTTATTTAATTAAGACATTTCAGTTTTTATTCACACTTTAATTTCTATAAAATATGTCGTGGCAAGTCTTCCAAATTCGCAAATCTACCAAACATTTTTTAACTGAGAACTGGACACAGGAAAAACTTATGTAGCTGGTGCTGCCCTTCAAGCATCGACCCTTCAGGGGCGCAGTCTTCTCTACTTGTCTTCTCTCCGCTGCAGCTCAGACTGCTCCACTTATTGCAAGAGTGGCAAGCAGGAGAAGAAGCTGTCCGAGCTGCTTCTTCTCCTGCTTCGAGCTATTATTATTATTTCCAAATTTAAAATAAATATTCATTTGATTCACTTCGTTCCCATTGTCAATCAATCCAACAATATAAATACATTTAATAAAAACAAAAGCCTCAGGTTCATCAGCTGACTTGGCTTTTGCGAATTTCCAATTTTATGCAACCGGAAATTTGTTTAAATATAATTAAATTAACAACTCAATAAAACAGAAACTAAATTCACACCAATTAATTTCGCTTTGACTGGCTCTGGCAAAGCTCTTGCACGCGAATCGGACTGAAGGCACGGATTGGGCATGGGGCTTGTGCCGCTAGAGAGTAATGAGAAAACACCGAATCAATATGGATGAGAGGGGAGATTAGCATAAAATGTTAATGAACCAATTTCGCCAGCATCGGAGTACAAATAAAGGCCCACAGAATGCGCAAAGATGAAACAAGACAGCGGCGGCAGGTGCCTAAAGAGTTTTGACAAAAATCGAATATAGAATCGATAGAAGAACAAACGAAAAGCCCACTGATTTATGGATTTACACATTTGAACCAGAACTCAGAGGTCATTGTAACCGAAGACTGACACCCAACCAAGCGAACGCGTTTTTGTTTTTCCTTTAGTAAACTTTTTGGAGAAACCTGTCCCCTAATTTTCATGATCCATTTAACAAATCAAACTAATTGGCTAATGAAAAATATTCACCACAACAACATAAAAGAGGCAGAAAAACGAACTCAAAAACCTTTTCCTACTTCTACCAATTTGTTTTTCTCTGAGCCAAAACAGAGCGCCCCAAAGCCAGGCCAAGCCAAGCCAGCCAAACGAAACGAAATCAGATTCGACAAAATACAGAAAAACAATATCATTGATGGCTCTGGAGGCTTTGGCAGGGAAACCAGTTTAAGTTTTTTCGTTTTCTTCTTCTGATTTTCAGTTTTAGTTGTTTAAAGGCTGCACTCCACTCCACTCCACTCACAAGAAATGTAAGACAAAAGCCACAGCGAAAGATACAGCACTGCCACCCGATGTTGGGACTTCGAAAATATTGGCTCATTTCAGTTTTTATTGATGATGATGAAGACCTTTTCTAATTTTGTGACAGCAAATCATTTTATTATTTGGGTTAGTAAATCTTTGGAAACAACTACAGTTGATGGCTCCGCATCTTTCCAATTATAAAACATTTTTAGGGGGTGGGGGGCATTTCTAATTCAAATGTTCATGCTAATTAGTCATCGAGTCGTTGATTGGCTTTTCTTGGTTTTGTGAAATTCTTCATGTCTGCTGCTGCCTTTTTTTTTTTTTAGTTTTTTTTTTGCATGTAGAAAAAGTTTTGAGAGGCAGCCGCAGCAGCAGCAGCAGCAGCAGCGAAGAAAATTTCTTGGAAGCTGCTGAATAACAGAGTTAAACCCAAAACTGGTCGCCCAATGTCTGTCTGTCTGTCTGTCTGTCCGTCCGGTTTGGGTCTCCGCGAGTGTGTGTGTGTGTGATACAGGACAGCAGGGTAGAGAGACAGTGGAGATTGGGGAGAGTCTACCCAGTTGGTGGCGGTGGCGATGGCGGCGGCGGCACGTCGCGTAGCGTCGCCTCGCACAAATGTTGCAAGTCGCGAGGCGAAGCGACACCCATACAGTGGTGTGTGCCAGAGCCAGGTATCCATATAAGTAAATACGATTGCCAGAGCTCTAGCTACGGATGATTATGAATATGAAGGCGACGTTCGGGGCTGAGAATGATCATGGAGGTGGGATTGAAAACAAAATAGATGAAGCCCAAGATGGTAATGACAAGTAAATCGAAAAGCAATCAGCACAGAGCCAAGAACTATAATTGATAAAACGTACATTATAGCAGGGAAGTTCATTTAAATATTCGGCATTTAATGAGCTTAAGACAGAACCCCAGAAGACGATAAAAGTATGCGCCTTTCCTTCCCAAATTACAGAAGACTTAGGCCACAAACTTCCCCATTTTCCCAATCACCGTTCACCCATTTAGAACTTGTTTCCTTCGTTTTGCCCCCTCCAGGACTAATATCTCACTTACCCTGCAGCTTCTTCTCCGTCTCCCAAAATTTTTGCAATTCCGTAAAATATTTATCCAGTATGAAGACTTTTGACAGGCCCAATGTGGCCATCGTTGTTGTACATTTGTGTGGCCCCCGAGAGAACCACTAAACGGGTTTTTGGTTTCTTTTCTTTTTTGTTGTTTTTTTTTTGGGGGGGGGGGGTAGGCTTTCTGCTTTTCAAATGTTGGCAAATGTTTCGGGTTTCGACTGGGGTCCAGGACGAGGCAACCAGCAAACAGCAACGACGACGACGACAGCGACGACGATTTTCTTATTTGAATAATTCCGATATAGAGGCTCGCTCACTCGCACACCACACGGGATACGGGATACACGGGACACCCGGGGACACACGGTTGTCAGAACAGGTTTTCTGGTTTTCCGCACAGGCGCTGGTATTGTTGCACTGTATCTGTATCTATGGCATACAGATGTATCTGTGTGTCTGTGTGCAGCTGCAACAAGTGAAGCAACAGCACAGCACAGCACGGCACGGCACGGCACAGCACACAAAAATTAAATAAACAAGCAAAAAGAATGCAGAAGGGCGAGCAGCAGCCACAGCCACAGCCAAATCCCTGCCTGCCTCTCTTCGGTATCTGTCAGATACGTTTGGAGCACTCTGCGGCGCTGATTCTGGGCTCTTAGTCGGTCTCTGCCTCTGCCTCTGCCTGGGGATCGGATCTGCTTTTGCTTTTCTTATTATTATTTTATTTTATTTTTTCTTATTTTTCGTAGCTCTCTCGAGCGCGCGCGCGCTTTATTTTCTTGTTTTGTGCAGACTTTTGAAAAACGAGTTTCCAACTTCAACTCCAACTCCAGCTCCAGCTCGAGCAGGCACACGGCAGTGGAAGTGGACGGACCCAGTGTAGATGCTTAGATACCTTGAAGGTACACTTCACACTCACAGATGCACACACACACACACACCGACACTCACTTGGGACAAGACTGATTCGCTGTTAGAGTATGTTTGGAGTTTTGTAGGCACTTTCAACTTTTCACCAGACCGACCGACCCCGTGAACTCTTTGGTTATTAATTATAAACTTTAATTGGGATTTGTTATGCACGTCTTAACGCTCAGTTAATTTGATTTGAGCCCCCATGGGTGGGGAGTGGAGTGGGGCAGGGATATATGTAGCTAGTTAGCACCGCCGAATGTACCGATCGTTTGTAACTCCAGCCGCGAACTGACGCTCAAGCCATTCACAGCCCAAGCCGAGTTTCATGGATACATTGGCAAGGTATATTACATGGCAGGTGATGTGGTCTCGTTCTACCTGTAGGTTTGTTTCCACAGCGCATACAGGTTTGGCTGCCCAGCAGAGGCTGCTCTCTGGCACTGGCTCACCTTTTATTAAATGTACTTTAGGCCACTCTCTTGTTCAACTCCACTCTCTTTCTTTCTCTCTCTCTCTGTCTCTCTGATTGCAGGTATATTTTCTAACAAAAGGCTTTACCTTTACCAAAAGATCTCTGCAGATCTCTGTGTCTCTGTGTCTGTGTGTCTATGCTTTTGTCTCTGTATGCAGTTGTTCAAATATGAGGTCAAGTGTCTGAACTATGCGCCTCTCCTGCCACAGACTGTTGGGGCATCGCTTCCCAGCTCGTTTTGCTGGTCGCGTGTTAATTAGCGTTGATTGCTTATTGTTTAATGTTGCATTTTACATTTCCCACATCTCCACTGCATGGCATTGTGCTTCTGCATTCTCATTGTCAACAGCGAGCACAGCAGAAATGCAAATTGATTCACAAAATCACGACTCTTGCCTTGTCTCTATTTAATTTCCGCTAAATTTGTTGTAGCTAATGGAATTGTACATTTTAATCTATGGAAATTTTATAGAGATTCCTTATAAATTATTTTCACGCTAAATACATTGATTATTAATTAATTAACGGAAAATTTTAATTGAAAAACGTTCATTTTCAGTTTTTATTTATTCAAAAACTTGAAACAATGGTTTTTTTACAGACACAAACCTCAAACGTAGCCTAGACAACAACCCTATGTTTTCTTGTAGGGAAACTGCTTTCAAGCTGTACACTGCTGCTTCAACTGCTTGATACATGCAAGTTTTTAACCTAAACGTTTTTTGTTTTTTTGTTTTTATGGTGTACGTTTTTTTTGCAGTATTTTTTTTTCTGTTTTTCAAGTAAAATTGTTGTAATTTTCATATGGTATTTTTTCAACATTTAATAGGGAAAAAACAACAAATAAGCTTTAATTTTACATCAGGTCAGAAGCTGGCCGATACGAAACTAAGGGCGCGAAGTTAGAAGTTAGTTAGAATTAGCAATACTTAAAACGCAATAGCTCTGTCATTTCTCCTCCGATCAGGACGTTATATGTGTCCTCGTGATCGGGGGAATATCCTTGATTTTATGGAATCCTTGCCAAGGATCAAGGACATCAAGGATCAGAAATATGATCCAGAGACTGCGGATGGCTAATAACTTTTTAATCTCCCACTAAATCGTTTAAATATTTAATTTATTTGATCCTCCCAATAATTACCCTTTAACTGATTTTATTAACCCTTGAACCTACCTGTTATATTACCCGTTGTCTTGTTGCACGACGACTTCTTTCGCTTGGCCACTGGCAGTGTGTAAATAGCCGAGAACTTGGTGAATCGTTCGACCACAGCGCTGATCTTGCTGGAAATGGGATCCTTGGCTATCTTTAGCTCCCTTACCTCCGCTGCGGCCACAGCTGAGGACGGGGCAGTGGTGTCCACAATAGCGGGCGAGGCTTTTCTTTGTTTTGGCGATGGTGTGGTGGAACTGGAGAGATGCAGAGATTAATAGAGATTTAAGTAAGCCAAGGAATAATTTTGGCAAATGGAAACCCACCTGACTGCCTTGTGGTACTGACAGAAGAAGTCGGGGCGCATGCGATGGCGACAGAGAAAGTCCTCGCACAACTTGAGGACATCATCGTCCTCGCAGTTTTCGCTCTGACTGGTGCTTTCGCTGCGATCCACCACCTGGGCGTCATTCCGCTGACCCTCGTTCCGCGCTGGCGTTGGCTCCTCCGCCTGGGGGCTGTAGAGAAACGAGGGCAGGGAGTCGCCGAGAAAGTCCGGTATATTCTCAAAGAAATCCGCCGTGCGATCATAGCTGCTGCTGCTGGCACTGGAACTTTTGGAGCGTTGCTTGGACTGCGGCGATCGACTGCGGCGGCTCTTGCGGTAGGTCAGATGCTGATGATGCTGGCCCACGTCGTAGTCTGCGTACGTCTGATCCGGCAGCAACATATCATCCTCATCCTGGTTGACCCATTTACCGGCTGAAATACTGAAAGTGCAAGAAGACAAGTGGATGCCTGGCAGATGAGTGGATTGGAGAATTGCAGGCTGCTGCGGCTGCTGCTGGCAAAATCAATCGCGACATCAATTCGCATTTTAATTGCTTTTAAATCAAGTGGCCCAAGGAGGCGGCGGAGGCTGCTGCTGGTGAATGGTGCCGCGTGGAAGGTGGCGGCTGTAGCTGTGGCTGTGGCTGCGGCTTCCGCGTCTGCAGCTCCATAAACCTGTCAGTTTATTGGCGCAGCCGATTACCACGATTAGCGTGACCATGACGAAGGTGACAGACATGGACGCTAATGCCTTTACTGCCCCCAAAGCTGGATGGGATCTCTCGCGCGCACGCTCTCTCTATCTCTCTCTCTCTCTCTCTGTCCAGGTTCGCTTGCAACATGTTGCAACTTGCAAGAGCGTAAATAGATGATTTGCCAATCCAAATGAGACGCAATATTTATGCCACACGCAAGAGAGCGAGGAGTGTGGTCCTTGGGTCCCACTGTTGCGGCTTTGGCTGCTGCTGCTTGGCAATTAACTCAAATGATTGTCATAAAGTGTTGCGATCTGTGTGTGCTGTGCTGCAGCGGTGGCGGGGAGAATGACCATGTGGCTGCCATCAGCAGCAGCAGCAGCAGCAAGTCGCAGCCGCTGGCGTCGGCATTTTTCAGTGTCAACACAGCGGGCGGCGGCAGACTTTGAGTTGGAAGCAGGCAAGCAGGCAGCAGGCAGCAGCCCGCAGTTCTTAAGCTCAACCCGATATCTGTAGCTGGAGTTGGAGCTGAGGCTGAAGCTGAAGCTGAAGCCACAACCCACTCCACTTTCTGGTTTATTATGGCGATTACGCAACATGTGAGAGTGCAGATGGATTTGACGGTTAAGTTTGCTGTAGAACTTCCTATTAAGGAGCGAAATTAGAGACGAGAGGAACTGCACTGCAATGCAATGCCATGCAATCCTGTTGTACTTTGATTTTTGTCAATTTATTGATACTGATTGGCTTTCCCCCCCAACCACCGAACATACTTTGTTGCAGATTACTGACAGATTACACATCAAAGGAAATGTCTGGCCATAAATCGGCTTAAACAACGGAAACAGCAGCAGCAGCAACAGAAGCAACCAGCAGCAGCAAACAGCATCAACTCCTCCCCGGTCTAAACAATTTGGCTATCTAAACATGGCTAATCGCATAGCTGGGGCCTTTTAGAATGAATAAAATATGTCATCTAATACAAACACAAACACACAAACAGGGGATGGGATGGGATGGTGGAGTAGCTGAGCTGCTGGTATCAGTATCAGGTAGCGACATCGCATAAAATAAAATAAATCTCATAAATATGCAGACTGCTCGGATCAGAGGGGACCAGAGAACCAGCGACTTGCTGGACTGAGGATCTCTGCTGCTACCTGTGGAAATGTTTGTGGCGCTCTCTGTGTGCGCCTCTCAGACTGAAAGTTATTTATTCTAACTACGAGTACGATATACAATTTCCACTCCACTCCAATCTGTAAAGTGGAAGACACAACGCTGCTGTGGGTCGTCCACTCCACAGTTCTGGCTTCCCTTTGGCTGCATTTGGCTCATGTGGGGGGGCCGCTTGGCAATTTGCATTTTCCAGCCGAGATCAACAAATCAGCATTTGCAGCTGAGATATGAATTAATTAGCAAGCAAAAATATAGCAAGAAACAATTGTAAATAATATTTGCAGGGCAGCTAGGAACTTCTTTGGGGGTTTTCTCTTCTTTGAGTTATTTCTATTTGGGAATTCGCTTGGTAGGGTTCCATCTTTAGAGCAGATATCTATTCTATCTTGAACTCTGTTTAATGTTTCTTTGAACTTTGTTTGCGCCAGAGATCTCTGCTGGAATTGTTCCTTGTTTTTGGTGTTTTGTTTCCATGTTTAGAGCAGCTGGACAAACATTTACAATCAATTTGGAGCCATCGCTGGAGCAATTTCCCAGGCCAGCAAATGATTACAGACCTGCGGTCTAGGGTCCAAGCCTTTCGCCCTTCTACTCTTCTACCCTTCTACGAGTACCAATCGAATTGCACTTTTGACTTTGCTACATGGAAATTACATGATTTAACTTAATTTAATAAAGAGCCAAGGGCACTAACTTTGGCTCTGGCTATGGCTCTGGCTCTGGCTATGGCTATGGCTCTGGCACAACTAGCACTGAGTATCGCTAGTCCCTGTGGTTGTGGCGTGTTTTTCGTGGCTCGCTTTTGTGATTTACCGCATTTGTACCCCTCTGCCGGGGATATGGCAAGGGTCGGATACCGCCCCCGCCTACTCGAGAGCACACAGCCAGCATCATCGATAGGGAAGAACAACCAGAGTTGGAGCCACAAACTGGCGTCTTGGTCGTCCATCAACGTGGTGGGGCTGCGCTGCACTGCGCTGGCTGTCCTCGAACCCCGTCCTCGTCCCGGCCACACTCTGAGAATGCTTGCCCCCAATCCAATTAACGAGGGATACCTTGTTGTGGCCCCAATTGTTGTGGCCGTTTCTCGCAGTGCATGGATTTGTGTAGATCAAGAGATTTTGATTAATAGGTGGTTGCCTGGTTGCCTGGTTTGCCTTTGCTCTTGGAGCTGAACCTCTCCGCACTGCATCGGGGCTGGGCAGCGAGGCCGACTGACTCCTTGGCCATGGATGGCCTCGGGTTAGACATTGAGAAATATTTTTACGAATCGAGTCGACAGACGAAGGCAGTCGAAACTCAATGAATTTTTCGTTGCCTTCGCATTTGCTCTCCTCTCCTCTCCACTCCTCTGGCTTATGTGTGTGTCCGGTCGGTCGGTCGCTCGGTCGGTCGGTCAGTTGTTCTCCCCAATTGTCTATGTCCTTCTATCGCGCAGTGCAGCCAAGCCGCAGCCAAGCCAAGCTCTTGC